AGTTCCATGACCTCCTATCCCAGACCACATCTCCCCTGAGTCAGCTGGACCCCTACACCAGTCGCTCCATGGACATGCTCCTTCCCCTGACCGAGTCAGATCGGAGGCGAAGAGGAGTCGACCAAGACTGTAGTGTATCTCTGCGTTCTTATAGCGAGAGGCCACGTTCTGTAGTGAGTGCCACCTTCTTTTACCTAAATGCTTTTCTCCAACAATGTCTGTAGCTTTCAGCAGATGCAGGAGCACAATCAGGCACAAAGAAATGACAAAGATGCAAAGAAAACAGCCTGTTCTCTGTTTCCGCACACAGAAAACCATTGACAATAAGTCAGTCAGATTAATTGCAAGCCTTTTCTACAAACCCTTGTTTGACCTTCAATCTAACATACATAGTATTTACAGTATATTTAGTCTTTCTAGCCATAGGTTTGACATCATTTGTCTTATCCAGTGTCTAACATTTGGGTTTTTCTTGGTACTGAGGCTCATATTGTTTCCTGCTTGTTATCAAGTGGAAATAACTTTGGGGGTATTGGTATTTCGTTTTAAATAATCACATCACTCTGACCTCTTCTTTCTTTTTTAAATAAATAAAAGAAACAAATAAATAAATGCTGCCGAAATTTAAATGTGTTGTGCTGGTCCGGATGTAAAATGAAGTTTTGCATTGAAGGGTGGATGTGCAGAGTGATTGATTAAAGCAAAATGTAACTAGAACCAGTGAAAAAAGAAGAGGTGCATTCAAGGTTGTTGGGTTTTTATTTGTATTTTTGCTGCGTAGCCAGGTCTAAGCAGAGATGTTCAGACATCCTTCCACTCAGCCACCTCCTACAGCTCTTGCTTAGTCCTTAATCTTGGAGATATATAAACTCTCCAGTATGTCCTGGGTCTGCCTGAGGCTCTCCTCTTGATTAGACATACCTGATGAACCTCAACTAGGAGATGTCCTGGAGATATCCTGATCAGCTCATACCACCTTGTGGCTCTAATCTTAAGGATGTGCTCAGATGTACGTAGAAAATACAGTCGATGGAAAGTTTTGGAAACCCACATTTTGGAGCTGACATTTTGAATCAATATAGTTGGAAAACTCAATGTCATATTTAATCATCTGTCTGATATTTTCTCCCTGTCCAAATAAACATTTGAAGCACTGCTGATTCTTAATGAACAAAAACTTGAGTTTATTTCTTATATATGTGTAATTTTAGCTAATTAAGCTAATCTTAACTTCCATTAAGTCCCCAAACTGATAAATAGAATATAGAAAATATGTGTAAAATATAAAAAAATAAATTGATGATCATTGTGATGAAGTAGTCTAAGGAAGAAAAAACAAAAAAGACATGAAGTGCCATTGAGCATTTTTTTTTTTTTTAAATCTTTGTAGACTATTGTTTCTTCTTTAAGAGAAGAAACCAAGAATAACACAGTGATCAAATCTTAGCATTTGTTAAAGGTCAAACTACAACACAAACAGTGAAGCTGGCATAGCTGCTTTCTGACTCACTGAGGCCAATCTGGAAGCACACGGGAGCGTCCACAAATAAGGAAAGGGAATATGGTACCACTGCTGTATAAAAATCAATACTTACAATTTCCATAAAATCTTAGTGTGTAATGATCATCATAAGTATATTTTACTCTGACAGTGATTCATGAAAGCACTGAGCACAGCCTACACTGACCTTAAGGCCCAGCATGCATAATATTTATTAGTTTCCTAGTATAAAAGACTTGCATTAAACTGCTGACCAGACATCTGCCTTCACACTAATGTTCAGCGGTCAGAAACCCTTTTACCTTGCCAACTTGATGGATGCACAAATTAGTATTTGAAATGAGTGTGGTTACAAAGATCCTGCAAAACATTGAAAAAATAGCATTTTATCCCCTTTAATATCTACAAAAATTGAACACAAGGCAGAGAATATTTTGTTCTTGGATCAGTCTGTTCTCTTTATTGCATTTAGCAGCCTGTTCATTTGCATCTGCAGGACAGACACAGCGACCGGCATAAAGAGTCTCGTCTAAACCTCCGGCCGCCGAGCCACTCTGCTACCTATGCCACGGTCTCCGCCTGGCATCACCAGCCTGAGAAACTCATTCTGGACTCCTGCGGGTACGAGGCAACAGTAAGTCACTTTTACTGTCTTCAGCATAGATGCCAGAATATGCTGTAAATATGTTATAGATGGACTATTAAACACTATTAAACAAGAAATAGTGTAGAACACTTTTATTCAAATACATCCTGTGCTTGCGATGGCCCGTCTGTGTCTTTAGTTGACTTCGTTTGCCAGCACCAACTTTTAAATCATTTTTTAAATTGTGTTTTGACTCTTTCCTCTAGTATCTAGGATCATTGATAATCAGGGATCTACGAGGGATTGAGTCCACACAAGATGCCTGTGCAAAAATTAGGGTAAGTATTTATCAATGTCCTTCTAAGAGCAAATGTAAAAGCCATCGTGGTAACACCCAACGCTGACGCGTGGTTGGGGAGAGAGCTATAACTTTATGTATAGAATAACCAGTTAAACATACTTTTTTTTTTAAATTTGAAAAAATTGGTGGTATTTTCCCAAAATAAGGTTTAAAAAGCCTTTTTTTTTTTTCTTACAGGTTCTTGCCGGTTGTTTTTTTTTTTTACTACTTTAATTTACATTGTGGGCAAACACCGTGCTAGTTCATGCCATCAATCAAATAATAAATAAATTTTTAAGTCCACTAAAATACAATAAAGTAACAACTAGATGTATCTGGCAGCAAACAGCTGAAACTAAACCTTTAACTTGCTTTCATGTGAGCAGCAATACTGTTGGTTCATGATCTGTGTTCAGGTTATTATAAAGGAGATGATAAAGCATATTGGTTCAAAAGAGCCGAGGTTCGGGGGTTGGGAGGCAGTCATCTGCTGCGACTGGTGAAAACATGAGGGGAACAATTAACAATAACAATTAATAAACTCCCTGAAATAGGCAGTGATTTTTTTTTCTTTCTTCTCACTTATTCTTTTTGTATCTATTCCAGAAATCCAAGGACTCCAAAAAGGGTCCAGTTGTCATACTGTCCATTACCTATAGAGGTGTTAAGTTCATCGATGCAGCCACAAAGGTAATGGGAATTATTGATTATTGACCTGTCCAATGCAAACACTGCTGTCGACTTTCTCACTGTCCATTAGTGGTTGATTCCCATTTAGCGCTCACTTCATTCCTGTCTTCATTAGACTATAGTAGCAGAACATGAGATCAGGAACATCTCATGTGCCGCGCAAGACCCAGATGACCTCTGCACATTTGCATACATTACCAAGGATCTGAAGAGCGGCCACCACTTCTGTCATGTCTTCAGCACTGTGGAAGTGGTGAGTAACATCAGCCCTGTGATTGATTTAATAGAATTAGAACTATAAGCATAATACATTGTAATTATGGTAATATATTAAAGTAATCCACTATAGACAGCCCCATATTTTCATATCATTGTGGAACATTTTGCAAATTTTTGGGTAAATAAAGAAAGAAAACCAAAATGTCCCATTGTAGGACGTCTTATATCCTGCAGTTAAACCTGCCTTGAGCATCCTATGGATTATTTTCTTGATTGGCTCATCAAATAGCTTGGTTAAAGACCCACTCCTGCTATGCATGGCATTTCCATGCACAAGCACAAATTATGTTGTCATTTGAGTCGAAAGGTCTGTTAAAAGGTCAGCAGTGAGGTTTCATTTTTGGCAGCTCGACCACTGTGGGGGCACTTTAACTGCAGGGAAAAATTTTTTGTTTGTGGGTTTGTTTTTGTTTTTTTAATGAACTGCATTGAAAAAGATCTTTACAGGACCCAAAAAAACCACTGCTGAGCCTCGATTATTTATACTTCACACAGTTCCTCCATGCACAGAATGTCAGATTAAAAACTGCTTTAGCTTTTCTCTGTAAATGCATCATATTTAAACAAGAGCCTGTGGATAATTATACAAAGTAATTATCCTAAAAATGTGAAGAGCAGCGCTTTTGTGTGCTGCGAATTTGCTGAAAACAAGTGTTTGCTAACCAAATTGAATAGTGGTTAACTCAAAACAAATACTGTAACACGTTCAGAAGACTTTTTTAGTCCAAGCTTTGTAGCGTAACTAATACAAGGTGCTTAGTTGTGTTTTTTTATGGAAATTAAATGTTTACTGAGCACACAAGCAAAGTGCATAAAGATTTTGTCTTTGTTGTGTGCGGTCATTTAAAGTCAGCTGTTAAAAAGTTGTTTATGCCTGCTTTGCTTTTCGTCACATATTTCAGTACAATGAATCTTTATTTTCCACTCACACAGACACAGACCTACGAGATCATCCTAACGCTGGGACAGGCATTTGAGGTGGCTTATCAGATGGCGATTCAGTCCAGGGCGAGACACTACATGCCTCCTTCATCTCTGGGCTCTGAGGTCATAGACACCAAAACCAGCCGTCCTGTATCTCAGTCCTGGAGCAGCATGCGAAGATCAGCAGTGAGTACCAGCCTATAAAACCTTAAGAAAATCGTGGCGAATGTGTGCATCTCTGAGTGCATTTGAGTGGTGAGGTTGCTCTACACGTTAAAAGGAAAGCGGGTGTGAAGGAACATATTGTGCAGTCATACTTCAAAATAGGTAGACAGACCCTGTGACCCACTTTTTCTCCACTGCTGAACCCCTAATGGGCCACCTACAAAGGAGGATTTGCTGTGCGTGTGGCAGAAAGTGATGAGTCATTACTTTGCTCTGTGAGTCACTCCAATCAGAGGAGACTTTCTTTTTGTGCATATGTGAAGCGTGATGAATGATTCCTTTTATTTGTTGCTAACAGGGGGGTGGGAGGAGGTGTGTGATTTCCTCTGGGATTTTTCTAAGTTTGTGCACAGCCTCGTTGGTCAGAACCACCCGCTGCTTCCTCACTTCTGATTGAGTGTGCTGCATAAATGTTCAGGTATACCCTGAGCATTGATGTATTGACCTTTCAGGCTGCATATAGCATATGCATATAGCACTCAGTGATCACTGTCACCTGAGAGCGCTGCACAGCCACCGCTAGGAGCACGCACTCAGACACTGCTGGACCACTTGCTTATTCAGAGACACAAATCACATTGTTTTACTACCTGCCTGCAAGGATAATATATGGAGTGATCACAGAGCTGCATAATGAGCCTGCTGGTTGTTTAAGTTTTAGATGAGAAGAGTGGGGGCTGTCAGCTGCGATTTGTTTTAATACACTTCGCTGCTACCAAGTGAAGTGAAACAAAAACTGTGACAATCATGAAGGTTTCTTATGTATTTTACCTAAGAAGAGATTGACTGTTTGCTAAGCCCTGTCCTCTGTAGTTTGCATAAAGACAATATTTCCTAAAACAGAAAATATTTATCAACTGTTACTGTCAGGTTTTTTCCCCCTCTGGTTTTAAAACAAAAATATTGTAAAGGAATCTTAAGTATGCATCTCAAAATGAAAAAAAAAAAGTCCAGTGTATGCCCATTGGCCAGATTCATTAATGGCTGTTTCCCTTAAAGAAATCCAGTTGCGATTGGTCGGTGTATTTCTTACGCCAGGAAAAGCCCCACCCTACTATTATCATTAAAATACATAGTTATCAGAAATAATGCAGTGACTAAAACATATGTCATTAGATGACATGTATACATTACTGTTATTGGGTTAAATAGTACTCAATGACATGACATATTAGGAAACCAAAATATTTGAGTGTTTGCCCATTTAGTGTCAGAGCTTTGAAATAAAGCAGAAAATGGTAAACATAAGTGAAAACAACTGTTAAACCAGTGTGCTAAGACAGATTCAAAAGCTGCACACCTCTGGCTCAATTTCACAAACTTCGCCAGCTCATCATCTATGCACGAATATTTTTTTGTCGTGTCTAAAGCTAGCTAACCCTAGTATTTTATCTGTGCTGTGGATAGAATATTTCTAAAAATGCTTTACAAAGCTTCCACTGTTAATTAGCGTGATGATCAAATGTTGCTTACTTGAGTAACTTTAGCTGGAGTGTAAATGTGCCCATATTCAATAAAGAAAAGGGCCTAGCCAGTAATGTTAACCTTTGACAGACCCCAGGATGCACTCAGTATAGGAACAGTGCAAAGTGGATTTCTTAATAATGATGTATGTTCTTGAGTTTCTTGGCTTTGGGAATAAGTTTGTAATCTTTGGTGTGTTTGTTTGCTTTTTAAATTGGAATATAGGAACAACACTGATGCAACCTTCATAGCTGTTTCCAGTATATAATCGCTTCACCGGGATCACTGACAAATATTGATATGTGAATTTGAACAATTTATAGAAATACTGTTACCCTGGACAGTTAATTTCTCAAATCCGATGCATGCACAGTTATTGTAGGTTTGTAGGTACTAAACTAGTCTTCTGGGCATGCTGCTGATTTCTTTAAACAGTAAAAACACTCGTAAATGAATTCCTCACACTTTGCTCCATCTTTACTATAGCCACATGCACGCCACTTGAGCAAGTGGAGAAATCCAACGCTTCACAGACCTGCCATATGGAGGGCCAAAAATGACACAAGTATAAATAAATACTGCCATGCCTAGCTGGAGCTACTAAGCTATAATTGGACCGTCAGTATTCATGGACAGGGTTAAGTAAACAGTCAATGACAAGAAAACTCAAAGATGCTGAGAAATTTGCCCTCTTGAGCTTTAAGGACAGATAATGAACTGCTCGTTCTGCTGCTTCTGGATTTCTACACTGTCTGTTTAGTGCATATAAATTCTCTGTCCCTCTGCGCTCTTCTTTTTTTTAACATGTCTTTATTCTTGTCTTCTTGGTCCTCCTGCTTCCCAGGGTGCCCCTCTGCTCGAATGCCGCTGCTGTCACTGTCACACGTGTACTACCCACCGTCCTTCCTTCCTCCCGTTGCACTCTGTTAGCCCTGGAGTCCAGGTCCTTCTCTTTCCTTTCCTCTATTCAATCCTTAATCATGCATCTTCTTACACACAATTCCCTCTCCTCTTTATTTTTCTTGCATCTGAGTGCTTCGGTGCACCTCGCCTCCACGTTGTGTGGTTATTAGTATTTCAACCATGAACCTCATCCTTTTATTTTCCCATCTCTCATCTTCATCTTACATTTTAGTGTTAAAATGCAATTAGCTCTGTGGTTGGAGCGACTCATTGATGTGATTTACCGTCTTTATATGAAGACTGTTGGCTAAATTATGCCAGTGTGGGTTTAGCCCATTGCGTCAATAACATGATGGCTGAAGTTGTTTCTGCTCGATGGTTTTAAACTGTTTTTAAGATATTTTCAACTGAAGGTGTCTTTCATAAGCAGGAAATTTCAGATTGCCAAACGCCTACGTTGAGATTTTTTTCAAGCTAATTAAAAGTCAAATGTATTTCTAAGTAAATTACTCAGCGTAATGCATGTAGAATTATGTGTCTTTGCCGTTTGTGCTATGACAGTAGCCAATGGTGTAGAGCATGGTGCTTTTGAACTACTAATCAGCGTATGTTTTAACTCCCAGAGGGTCGTATTGTTGGTTTTACTGCCGCTGCTTATACAGGCTGAGGGTCTTTTCTGTCAGACATCATCCATGTTGTGGATTGAGCCCTGAGTGTCTGTGATTATAACATGATCACTGGACTGTACCTCTAATCCACATGCACGTGTGTGAGCTGAGGACTTGTCAGTGTGGCGCAATGGCCACCACTGCCACACGTCTCACGCCCTCCTCTCGTCCCTCCTCCCTCCCTCCCCCGGCAGATCGACCCCCTGGAGATGGACCCAGACATGCAGTCCCTGGGCAGCACCACCTGGCTCTTGGACCAGCGGGACGCCAACAGGCGCCCTGTCAGCACCAAGTACGAGACCACCATATTCTGAGGCCGGACTCCCACAGCCGCCCCTCTGCACCCCCCTGTATTTTCCTCTGCCCCTGCATCCGGTTCTCTATTTATCTCTCACACTCACACATATATACATGTGAGCCCCGTGCCTTCTCACTGTGATGGTATAGCATCCCTCAGGGCTGCCTACTCCTGCACCCTCCTTTGCCCTGCCCAGCGACCCAAACCAACCTCCTACCTGCCATGACAAACACTCCTGCGGCTCCCCCATGCCTCCCCAACACCCCCTGGCAGCCTCCGTCGCCTGTTGCTGCTACAGCCAATGGCGGAGCTCTGGAACGGATGATCCTGGACTGATCTCATTTTACAGTGGCCCCGCTCTCTCAACCAAACTGCCTCTTCCTCCTCATCCTCCTCTTCCTGACAACTTGCATCTGCCTCCAAATCCCCGATAGCTCCCAGAGGTTGCATCTTTATTATTCTTCCTCTTTCAAGCCATTTTTTTTTTTTTAAAGTGATTCTCCACAGACAAAACAGGCATGCTCATTTTTTCTCTTGCTCTGTCTAGACTTCACACTGGCTAAAGGCAAGTTGAAGTATTTCCAGAAGTGTTGAGTTTATATTATTTTAAAAATGGTTTTCTGTTAGACGTTTTGGGAAATATGTCTAGCAGAGAATTACGTGAGGATATTGACAGCAGTCTCACAGGTGTATAGTTAATATAAAGCTGAAACAGAAATCACACAGGCTACATATCTCAATAAGCACATTCACCAAAGCATTCTCCCACTGATTATTGACAAATTTCAGCTATTTAACAAATAGCTAAAGAAACGGTCTAATATTATTAGATAGGTTAGATTATAAGTATACTGCACGTTTTAGTTTTCACACCAGCCTAGACACAGGCGACCCCTCCTCTCCCACCCTGGCAACCTCCAGTTACTAGGGGGAAAAAAAGTGTAATGGTTGCTGAGGTTATTGGGGTCACTGTGAAATTGGTTGCTAAAGCCCATCGTGCAACTTTCCTTGCGATTGTTTTGGTTTCCAGCAGATTGCCACTGGTGCCCGTTGTTCACATGGAAGATCCCAACTCATCTGCAAACACTTGCTAATTATGCACAGAGTGGCCATTCATTTTCAAAGTAAAAGGTGCTGTTGAAATGTGTTGCTTGCATGAAAAGAGCAATTTTTACTTTTGAAGGTGAACAGTCTCCAGTTTTAGTCTGCAGTGCACTTCCTAAGGTTTCACTACCACTCGGGAAGTAGCTGTGGCAAGTGTTTATAGACAAGTCACCCTCCTTGATGTAAAGTACAGGTGAACTTGCAGTCTTGACAACCAGTGCAATCACAAGCAAGTTTTTGATGCAGCTCCATTTTAGCAACCAAGTTCACCCAGCAGCAGCCAGAAATCTCCGCAACTAGTCGGGGATTAAATATTTTCCACTAACGACCCGTGGTTGCCAGGGGGACCAGTCTCTAGGCCTGTGTGACTGAGGCCTAACTGAGATGTGGGTTTTTTTTCCAACCTAGCTTTTGTTTTTCCATTCAGTTTAAGTTAACTATAACAACCTCAGTCCACATCCCAAATTTCAAAGTTCCTCCCATCAGGGTCCACAGATTAGGAACCGCTGGGTTAAACAAGCCACATCGTTAGGGAGCTTTAGTGTTGCTGATTGTGTTTCATTTTCTAAAGGCAGGTTAGCTAGTTATAAGATTGTATGCCAAACAGATTAAAGCATTTCTACTTAGTTTATCCCAAAAGTTGGTAAATGTCTGTGTTATAGCAACCAAAACGAAAAACACAACCAAAAAAAGAATGGCTTAAATAAATTCATACAATAAAAATAAAATAAAAGCAAAAACTACTGAAAAGAAAGTTACATTTTCAGTTCAGTATCGGTTCTTGTGGCAGCTGAGCTTAATTAAGCAGGTGCTGTGCTACCTGTAAATCCAGTCAGCTCCATATTAAATGTACAGTTGTGTCCCCTTGCATAATTCCCAGCAAGCATATTCTCCAAAATGTTAACTTTTTCTTTATTGTGTCTTTTTGGTATCACACAGATAGATTTCAAGTCTGTAGCTTATATTTAGTTTTTTTTTTAAAATTATTATTATTAACATATCTTTTTCATTTACACAATTGTTTGGTTGTTTTGCCTCTCGACAGTTATAATTTTTTTTTCTTTCTCCATCTGTAGCCTGTCCTGTCTTACCAGGCATCTACCACTGTGAAGCACTATGAGGAGGCTGCTTTGATAGCATGGGATGCAAGATGGACAATTAATCAATGAAAGACAAAACAGCAACATGCAGCAAACAACTTGTGTTTTCTTTTTGTTGTTGTTGGGGTTTTTTCTACGCATTTGTACAATACTCATAGAAAGACCACAAGGAATCGGTCACGAATCTAATCACTGATGTCTGGACTCAAAACGGACCAAAAACTGAGACCTCGTAAACTCACACAAATACACACATACACACCCAGAAGGACAATATCAAGGACAACAGCCTTACTTCATTACGGTTATCTATAATCAACTAAAATCCCCTAACCTGCCCGAACACCACCACCCAACAACTGCACGCCTCCACCCTGCTTCTAAAAGACTTTAAAGGCAAAAAAGAAAAGAAAAAAAGGCAACACTTCTTATTTCCTGCTGTATTTAAACTGACTGTGACTAGCTGGGATGACGTTGATGCAGAGATGGTACAGTTTTTGTCAGGATGAGTCTTTGCTCTGGCCTTGTACTGCCCAGTGCCTCTCAGCAGTCGTGGTAGCACTGAGAGCCTGAAAATCACAGCTTCTTCTTATTGTCAGTTTAAACAAAGAAAAAAAAATGAAAAGGAACACTGTGTTTAAAAACATGGCACTATCCCTTTTAAGACCTTGTTTTCTTTTTTTCTTATGGTGCAAATTTGACATTCGTGGATTTTTGTGATACTTTTTGATAGACGGGGCATAACTGAAATGTGGGTTGGGGGGAATGATTACGAAGGGATTGTAAAGAATCCCAACATTACTACCAGAGGCAAAAAAAAAACCATAAACAAAACGTAAACAAAGTTTAAAAAAGAATATTGGGTGTATTAATGAGCCTCTAGCACAATCTGATGCACATATCCCGTCATAGCATCTTATTATCATGATTACTTGAGTAGGTATCCATGCTGTTTCACTCCAGTTTAGAATTAGGTACAGTACATGCAAAGTGTGTTACTTTGAGGGGGTGAAAAGATTTTATTCCACTACATTAAAAGAGCCAAATCTAAATGTTGCTCTGGTGTCGTGTTAATGCGAGTGGATTTGTAATGCTGAGAGCGTGGTACCATTTTTGTTTTTCTTAAAAGATTTTCCTCCTGCACTGTGACTGAAAAAAAAAGGTCGTCGTGAAGTCGACACATATCTGTGGGTTCTCCCCTGTGTGCACTACCTGCTGTGCGTGCTGTATGCCTTGTTTCTGTCTGTCCTCATGGGAGTTTGGACTCTTACATCACTGGCCACTGTCCTTGTTTTTTGTGTGCTGCGGGAGAAGTGAAGGATTGAGCTCGTGGAGGCTGACTGATTTTATTTTTTTTATTACGGTGTAACCGGCCTGCGTGCGGTACCGTGGCTGTGTCATTGCCACTCTGTTTCTGACTGTTAACTGTTAGCTTCCACTGACGATTGCATGTTGGCAGTGTGTTTGTGTTTTCGTACCCTTTGATGCACTTGGCCTGAGCAGTCTCTCTGTATGTACCGTAGCAGTGTCTCGTCTCCTCTCACTCACCTGCCATTCGCTTTTTACGTTCCCTCTCCCCGTCACACGCCAACTCAGCGCTTCACCCTCATTTCGTTTTGCCATCGTCGTCCAACATTTTGTCACGTATGTTCTCCCATTCTGTGTGTCACCGAAACAACCTGCTCTATTATGGATGCACAATATAAAAGCATTACACTTAAATGAGCAGCAAGCTATTTAAAGCAAGTTTTGGTGGCATGATATCGCTGTGCATGTAACCGCTCTTTTTAACATTGGTGTTTTCCTTGTGTAGCTCGCCCCAGCGTTCAAGTTTCCGGATACCAAGCTGTGAGTTGAAGGGGAGCAGCCGATGCGAGTGTGTTTGTGTGTGTTGAGTTATAGCGGGCAGAGCAGTGTGAAAGAGCTAGAGAGAAACTGAGAGGTAAGCCTTATGCAATGTGCAGGGCCAAACCAGCGCTTACTCTGACATTTAGATCTCACTCCGTATATCCCCTGCTCCTCCACTGCCCCTGAGATGAATCCCAACACAGACTAAAAGGTAAACCGGTAGTCCCACATCACTGGCTAAACAGGACCTGTGTATCACTCCTGTCTTGAGAAAGGTCACTCAGAAAGGTCAAGTCTATTTCCTGGCCTCCGTGACTTTCTGATCATGTTATGTAGGTACTGTAATGTTTAGAGCACTGTAGACTATTAATGATATAGACCATTAATGAGCATTTCTATTGATTCAGGTCTATTGAAAATGTGGGAATTATTATTAAAGGGTAACAAAATGTAGAGGAAAAGAAAAAAACTGTACCAGCATACAATGCTTTGCCCATGTTTCTGGACAGAGTATGGTTTGTCAATGAAAATGTGATACTGTTTCAAATTTCAAAGCAATATTATATTAATGACATTAAATAATACAAAGACTAAAGAATCCCTCTCACGTCTGTTGTCAGCATTGATTTCTTTTATATGGCTGAGTAGTTAAAAGCAGAAACATTACACCAGCTGTTTAAAATTTAAAGTGACAAATACAACAAACATGGTAATTAATGTACAATTATACTTTCACTCTTTCTCCTGCCAAAGAGATTAGTGGGTGGTGCAACTTTTTATTCTAAACAAACGATTAGCCCCCAGTCTCTGTTTCTCTCATGTCTCCAACTGCATTCAAGTCAGAGCCAAGCATCCAGGTGCCTGGTGAAAACACACACACACACACACACACACACACACACACACACACACACACACACACACACACACATCAGTATTCAACACAGTAAACGTAGCATTTGCACAACATGAAGAAACATTTTTCTGTCAGGTATATGTTTATCAGTTCTGTTGGGACGTATAGCAAAGTCAAAGTTAAATGAGAATTGCCTGTCCTTTTTTTGCATGTTTTTGCTAACCGTATGAATACAATTCTTCAAAACTGGCATTGTTTTAGAAATGTTTTATTTTAGCTACATTCCAGCTATGGGTGTACATTTAATTTAAATAGAAAATGAAAAGCTGACTCTTTAAAATGCATGTTGGGTCATTCTGCATAGCTCTCAAACCTAACAGCTCAGTCACACTACAGTAAAGCAGGAAAAAAATTGCCCATGCTTTGTGTTTGAATCCATTCGTTTATTCAGTTTTTGCAACTGGAGACCGATTGACTATAGTTGTGGCGACCAAGTGGTCAACCAGAGGTTGAGCGTGCAGCACCCTAAACCTCTGGACAAGCACACTGGACTGCAAGACGACTGCATTGGTCACCGATAATCCCCAGAAAGTCAAATAATTGCCATTTAATTTATAAACGCAGACAGACTGGCAAACAATCTGAGTTAGTCTACTCCGATGAGTACAACCTGCCTGCTGTCCTGCGGCATTTGAAATTTTCACTCATTTATCACATTTAATTGCTGTATTTTCACAAACGCAATGTTACTGCGAACTTAACTCCAGTCAGCCACAAACTGATAGCAGACTGGCTGTGCTGCAGTCAGATTCCAACGTGATGCAATAATTTTGGTCGTGTCATGGTCTCCTACCACTGCTTTACCTAGTGTGACTGTAGCATGAAGTATTAGAAAGCAACAAAGCAACACTGGAAAAAGTTAATATAAACTTTATCTTTACTGAAATTGATTGACTGAATATAAAAGGTGGATGTAGATAGGGGTGGATGAATCTGATATTTGGATCTGCTACCAATGGGTCCTTCTGTTCAATTTAAATCTAGATTTTACTGAATTAATTTCATTTCTGTGTTTCATGAGTCAAAAGCATGGAAGCTAACATGGAGGAAGCTAAAAGCAAAGAAATAGGAGTTTATTTATGACTTATAAGTTAACTTATTTGCTGAAAAGCTCAGACTCGGATGCTTTCTCTATCAGCTTCTCTCTCTTGTTTGCTCACTCTCGCTGGTCCTCACTCTTGTTATGCTCAGTGTAACACTTGTTAAAAAGCTTTTATTGCATTACTACAGTAACATACAGTAACATGTTGTCAGCTCCATGTGGTATTATTTCATCTCATGTTTCTGTTATTGGCTTTACCCCACGCATGCATAAAAGGTGTGCTCACAGTGACAGCAGGTAAAGGAGAAGTTCATTTGAATTTCATTTATATGGCGCCAAATCACAGCAGTAGTAGCCTCGAGGCACTTTGAGAAGTGTCACTGTAAAATATGCAGTGGTCACTCGCAGAGCTAAAATAAGACTAATTTGAATAAATTAGACGGATAACATTTTATTTATGAAAAGTATATTTGAAAGTATAATAAGTCTTTTATTAAAAAACAAATACAAGTTACCAGGTATCGTATCATCACAATTGGGTGCATCACTAAGGTAGCGACCAATGAAATCACCAACTGTCTGCTTCTGCATTTATAATTATTATTTATTGTATGAGCGGGGGAAAAAACTGTATAGTTGTGACCAAATCTGTTTTTGTACCAAGATTGTGGATTAAACATGAGAGTCAATGGAGACACAAGTGGTCACCAAAGGAACTGCAGTTTTTCCTCACTTGTACACTGTCTGACTTTGACTGCTTCCAGAATTGGCCCCTGCTGGCCATTATAAAGAATCTAGGTTTAAGGCGTTTATGCACTGGCTTTACTTTATAGACCCCAGGGCTATGTCCATCTTTTTTATACAGTTTGTTAATGGGTTACAAAAATAGTGCCAGAAGCAAATAAAAGGGCACAAATTGGTTTCTGAATACTTCCTTTGCTTGTTGGCAGTCAGCTATAGACACAGTCACTCCAAACATTTGAAATGTTAGCGTGTACATACATTTAAAACAGGACTCTTGTAAGCTTCACTACAATAACATGTAATGGGTGAAAAATACTAAAAACCGTATTAGTATTTTTTAAAAAGAAAAAAAATAATACAGATTTTAAAATAAGACCTCTTTAGGATTTAACTTATCCCATTGTATGTGCATCCTGTAACAGTTTTTTTCTGAAATATTGCTTAAAATGTAACAAGGTGAACGATAATTTCTTTCAAGCTCACGTGTTTTCATGTCTTTGAATGGCTGGTGGAAAAAATATATCACTTTTGTATTTGTTTAGTAGCACATACCCGCTCCAATGTCAACGACTGAAAGAAACACAAGTATATTTTTGATTCAAGAAGAAAATAATAATAATAATAAAAATATTGAAAAGGTGCATGCTGTCTTTGGTAAGTTACTCATAAACATTTTTCAACATGAAGAGCTACATATTAAAGCTTAAGTATTATTTACAGACTCATCATATGTTCTTTGGTGCTCTGATTTCTAAAACCATTCACATTCAGCGTCTTAAAATGGCTAAATATAATAATTATAGCTTTCACCTGGGTCAGAATTACTAAAATTTCTTTCACGTGTTTGTTTTTTTCAAGGCAGTAAATATGTATAAGGCAACACAGGATTTTGGTTCTGTGCCTTTGTTTCTTTAAATTGCCTAAGAATGTAGCTACAAACTGAAAGGGTCAGCCTCAGTTTAGCGCGAGTCCTCCCCAGCCTCGGCCCCTACTGGCTGGAACAGCAGTTTCCTGAGGATGGGCGCATAGAAGGGACCAAAGACTGTTTGGTTGAAGTGGACGATTCGCCCAAAGGCCGTCCCCAGCTCAACTAGCTCAGCACTCAGCAGCCCGAGGGGAGCAGGCAGCTCTGGACTCCTTTTAGCAGGGCCGCCCCGCAGCGTGTCCTGGAGGAAACCCTGCACCCTTTCTCCTGTTTGATGGAGAGAAGGAGGGAGAGAAGTCAGCTCTGCAGCAGCACACATCCAAGTTTAAACAGAGATTATCTAAACTCAGCAGCATTAAAGTGCACGAACATGTACTTATCTATCTTAATGAAAATATTTTTCCAGGACCGCTTTTTTTTTAACCACTCTGTTTGGCCAAGTTATCCTAAATTTTAATGAAGTAAGAACTTAACCAAAAACCTGATGCCTTCTCAATGTCTTTGAGGACACACTGGACATCATGCCAACATATGCCAAGTTTTCAGCTAATAGCTCTTTGGAATCATCTTGTTGTTTATAGATTCAACTGAAGATATGGGAACAGGCTGCTAATAACAGTGTGACAAACACTGGTTTGTCCCTTAAGTGCTTATTTGAATGACTCATAAGTCAGGTTCAAGTGGTTTAACAAACAAAAAATATTCCTGTGAAAATGGTCAGGTACAAGGAGTGGACAGAAAATGAGTGGAAAAAGCAGGCAAAAGTCAAAGCACACGTTCAAAAGACCTTCAGAAAGCGTGGAGAACCATTGCTCAAGACCTCTACAATAAAGTCTGGCTTTTTGGAAGCAATATATAAAGAAATACAGAGTAGATGCTCATCTGTATTATAAATATTATAATCTTATAATATATAAAATACAAGATAATATTGCTTTTTAAAAAGAAGGAAAAAACATATGCAAATACTCTGTAGTTTTTATAATAAATACTTTGAGGATTTATTTTTCAAGGAACATGATCTGCGTCAACATCCTGATATCACCATGGTCTTTCTTGTGACATTTTACACAAATAAAAAAGATCAAATTAACTGATTCGTTTAATCTGTCCATTGAAAATTGTGATTCTCCAAACATGAGTTTTTGCTACGTAAAATATACTTCTTTTAAAAATGTTTTTCCAGTAACGGTAGTCTATAATGGCCATTTTTTCCACTCACACCTTACAAAACGTAAACAGCTGACATTATATAGTAATACACACTGATGTAAGTCCAATATGTGGATATATTTCATTTCCCCCATCCTGTCTTACCTATAAGCACGCAGACTGGGTTGTTGTGTTTCCACAGCTCAGATATTTGTCCCTTCAGCAGATCCTGGCTCTCCTGCGGCAGGGCTGCTCCTCCCTGAGTAGCCAGCGCTTCAGACATCTGCTGCAATACTATCTCCCCAATCCCCAACAAGGCCCCCTTCAGGTCAGCTTCCCTGTAGCACCAGAAACCGGCATCAGACCAACCATCAGCATTCTTCATCAGACATATATTGTCTCACAGGCCTACGCATCTATGCACAGGAACTGATGGAAGTAATAAAGGAGTTCTCCAAGAGCAGGATTTTGATTAAAGTTCCTCCCCTGCCCATTGATTAAACTCCTACAAACTCATCTTTGTTTTTCACAATTACACATTTGTTTCCATGAGTGCACTCCTTAAAATGGCTTAAATATAATTCTACACCCTTGCCTCTTTTTAGTAGATGCGTATTTATGAAAATGCAAATTAGTGTCGTCTTCTGTGTCCTCTCACCTCGTCTGCTGCTTGCCTGCTGCTGAGGCATATCTGCTTTGCTCTGACAGTTAACACTGAAAGACTACTTTCTGCTATGCAATGATAAAACTAACGTAGGAGTAATTGAGCCACAGATGTTTGACATGGAAATAGATTTTGAAGAGCAAATGCCAGATTGTCTGGAACTCAATTTTTCAGAACAGCTTCTACAGTGTTAGAAATTTTAAATTAGAACTATTATCCTCATTTAGACTCCATCATTTTAAAGTTGGGGAAGTTCAAAATATTCCTTACTCCACTTCTACTACTTCTACTATCTCAAACAAACAGTGTTAGCTCCTCTAACTCTAAGACCACGCTCCCTTTTAAGCCAACTTTCTTCTGACTGGCTGTCGCTGTCAAACAGATGGTTTGAACAGCAGGTAGGTGGGGCTTCTGTGCTCACAGGCTGCGCTGTGACCATATTAAGGATACCTGCTCTTGTTGACAAAATTTAGAGCCAGAGTTTAAAAAAAACACAACAAAACAAACCAATGTCTGACAAAATTGGAGAACTTGCCAAATATCAAACATTGTTTGTATTTTTTCAAGAAAACATCACAAAATAATTCAAACATTTTTTTTCAAATCTATGAAATTGATTTGAGGTCATCTTCAGCCATGGCGGAGATATGCGGTCTAGGACTGCTTTATTTTGAAACTCTGGTCATGTTTAATATTAGCATCCACCATGGTAACAGTATATGCATAAAAGACAGTCAGGTAAAACAGATCCAGTTCATAGAGTTCATAGATGATCTGAACATTCAGGCTTGATTATAGCTGATGATTCCTCACTAATGTTAGATAAACCTCGTACCCCTAAACAGCTCTAACAAGTTAGCCTCGCATCTCGCATGCTGATTGGTTCAGTTTTTGAAGTTTTTCAACTATGAATCCAGGCCAAGTTTGAGATATTCATTGTTACAACACACCAAAGCAAAAATGTTCAACCATGGCAATGGCTTCTAATTTTGCTCAGGATTTCTCTTCTGGCGTTTAAATAATGCCTTTTATTGCAGCTTGGACCAGAGTGCAAGCAGACCTCGAACATTACAAGCTGCTGTTCCACATTTATCCGCTAATCATGACACGCCCTCTCTTGAACAGAAAGAATGAGGTTAGCTGGATCTGTTCTGACAAGCTAGTTGCCTCATGTCACCTCCATTGGTTTCTTTCTCATACAATACCTGTTCCCTGTGACAGCCAGTACATGCATCACCACATCCTCCTCTTACCTTGTGTGACTGCCCTCCAGCAGGGCAGTGATGGACTGCCTGAGTTTACCTACAAACCCCTGCAGGGAGAAAACGACGCGGCCGCACTGAGCGTTAGTCAAGAGCAGCACCGACGCCTCCAGGACCAACATCTGGAGCCGCTGACCAAGAGCATCCAGGCGGGCCCGATCCATCAGGATGGTCTGTGCGTGGAAGGCAGATTGGGGTCACAAGGGGGCAATGTTTTCAGCATAAATATGAAATCAATACCTCAATAAAGAGTCTAATGGTTATAACCCTAAATAAGATTGCGAAGCCACAGGTAATTGATGAATTTCCAGGGGTCATAGAGTATATAAATGCAAACTGTCATGATTCATCAATTATATTAATGCAGCGTCTAAAATCAGTTCACATGCTTTTAACCAGTGAGGAGGAATGGGTAGGCAAACTGAACATTCCCTCATAATCAATAAAATATCACCGGGTCCGATGAAAAGCATGGGCGTGATGTAATTTTTCAGACGGCAGCTGACCTCAGGATATTTCTGGTCCTGTGGGTCCCAGTGGAGAAGACGTATGTAGGCCCGGTTGAGGACAGCGGTGGGGCTGAAAGGACCGCGGCTGTCAGGACCGGGAGAATCAGACTGCGCCTCACACGGCGACACCACCTCAGACGCTGCTGCCTGAAGCCAAGCAGTGGTATTGTCCAAAGAATCTGAAGAGAAGTGACAAATTATGAAATGATTAAGAATATACTAAAAAACTGAAACTACACAGATGAGACCGACTAAGTGAATCATGGATTTTAGTGGCAACTGAGCGAGACAGAGCCATAGACTGTTCATTAAAGATGGATGTAGCCATGGTTATGTCACTGTGGCTTGTCAAGCCTCGAGCTGAGCATTTTCACCATCCCCATTTTAGACTTTGTGATGATTGAGGCGGAGATCGACTGAGAAACTGAGCAATAACTCCATGCAACTTAAAGCATCCCCTGCTTTATCATCAATTTTTAAACTAATGAGACCATCATTTAAAAAAATAAACATGCTCTATTCAGTAGAAACTAGAAACTCATGTAGGGATTAGCTGTGAATTCATACTTGAGTTATTTTGCTAAAACTGCGTTTACCTTGTATGTGTTTGCACTTATTATTTACATATTTAAATATGCACCTTTAAAGCACAATAATTTCTTAAATTTACCTCTGTGGTTTTCCCCACACCTACCTTAGTCTAAGACTGTGGTGCTCTGTTAAAAAGTCAATCATCTCCATCCCACTTTGTCTTTTTATGAAGAGTAATCTATCAGCATATATTGACCTTTTATGTTACATTTGCAATTGACCTTGGACTATAGCCTTGGAGTTAAGTCTGTGGAACTGGTGTCGGATGTGGTGGAGGAGCTGGACCCAGTAAAAGGTGGTTTCTGGTTAGAGTCGGCTGGTGAAAACCTGATTGCTGTGATGACTCTAGAACAGGGGTGTCCAACTCCAGGCCTCAGGGACCAGTGTCCTGCAGGTTTTAGATGTGTCCTTGTTCCAACACAGCTGATTTAAATGGCTAAATTACCTCCTTGACATGTCTTGAAGTTCTTTTGCTGCTCTTAAAAAGGACCCGTCTTGTCTTCTCCTTTTCCTCGACATGTCACTCGATGACACTTGGAATACGCTCCAGCCATCCCAACAAAGGCTTCACATGGGATTGCACCAGGTGTCTCTCCCAGGTGATAAAACTCTTTTGCTTAACTCATGATCTTGCTTACTATTTAGACTTTTCAGTATTTAAATTACTCACCAGAGTAGTGAGAAAAAATTGTTTGGCAAAAATCTCCCACTGCAGGTAAATTTTTTTAATCCTGAAAATCAAACCACGGGGAGTTACACGATTCTAATTCCCATTTTGACCACTTGGGGTCAATATCCTAAATGGCTGTTACTGATTATTTGTCTAGTGACTCCATAAGCATGGTGTCTACTCTGGAGTTTATTAGATGAAACAATTACATTAAAAAACAACCCAAAACAAAACAACTAAGTGTGGATGTGAGACTGTGTGGTTCTCTTTGTCAGCCTTTTGTAAAGGCCGACTCTGACCATATGACAGCTGGGATAGGCTGCAACTCCCCCCATGACCCTAAGTTGGATGAGCGATTAACAAAATAAATGGATGGATGCTAACATGGCTTTTTCAGCACCAGTGACTGTCACGCTGCCAGTTACTCTGATTAGCCAGCGCTACAGAAGCACAGTGCATGAGCCAAAAACTCCGTTCAGGGATTGGCTGTCCCACTCCTTACCCAATATATGAGAAGCAGAAAAATGGCAGGATGGTACTTTAGAGAGACGAGGGTCAAAAGAGGTTTAATTGAAAACTGAAATATCTAGCGACCATAAATGTAGCACTCACAAAGTCACCTTTATCATCTATCACTCGTTGCACCAGTGAAGTTGAAGATTGAAGAGTGCTGGAAATGAAATCCCTTCTCACCTGGCTGCTTGTCCAGGATCTGCTGGAATTTCGCCCGCTCGTACTGTATGGCCTGCTGCATGAGATGAGGCCTCAGGCTTTGAATGGTGAAGTTAACCATGTCGGTCTTCATGAGACCCAAGACACGGAAGATCTCCCTGGGAGGAATAATGTTTGAGTAAAACCTTTTTTGACATTCTTGGAAATAAGGTAACCTCAACCACTAGAGGGCAGAATTTTAATAGGCGTTTGGAGATGTTTTAAGCAGTGGATACTTTAGCTCTACATGCATTTCCTCAAGAAATAGCAGGTCATCACTAGAGCAAAGGACTTGCCCAGTTAAATAAAGGTTACACAACTCACAGCATCATCATGTGGCGCAAAGTGGTATTACATGATAGTACAGCTTGGCCAAAGTTCAATTTTAGTTAATATCTCTTCAGCACAACATATAGATGCTTTGGATATAAATTAATAGATTTGCATCTTTATATTGTTTAAATAGATTTTGTTAATTCTGGTGGGATTTATACTATTTTTAAAACAAGAATTTACAAGCACTTTTAAATATTTGCACATACTGAAGATTATTTTTAGTTCTAATTGGACATTATGAGAGGTATTACTGCAGAACGGAGCATCCAAACTCACACCAACTGAAAAGAAGTTTGGATTTATCTTATATTGGTACTGCATTACTAAGCAGAAAACTGATCAGTGAATGTATATTAATTCGGTTTTACGTTACATTTCATGGTAATAATGTGGTCTGCAAGTGATGTCATTACAGGAATACAGCTTGCTGCATGCTGGATTTTAAACAGGGCCACAGCCTGCCACTGATTCCATGTCAGACACAAGTTTATTCGGTGCAGGTGTTGTTAACCTGCTTCTTACCTCAGGAGCTCCACAGGTTCCTTGAGATCCCGCAGTGCTCTGACTTCTGGGTCGCGCACCGGAGCACATAAAGATGCCATGGTGTTGATAACGAATTCCGCCAGTCGGTGGAGGTCCAGAGCCCCGTGGTCGACCTCCTGCCCAATCAGATCCATATCCAGCACCTCGTCAAGCTGAGACCTCAGTCTGACGTGAGCAGGCAAGAGCAGGGACTGAAGCATCTAATGTGAAGAAAAATGTCTGTTTTCACTAACATGTTATGTTTTGTTTGGAAGTATTCAGTTTATCCAGTTCTTTTAATATAATACACTGCAAACACTCACTTGGAACTGTTTTTTAAGTCTATTTAATAAAGATTTAGCTACTACCAAGTTTACAATCCCTGGGCAGATAAACACAATCTTAAACAAGCTATAAAATACAAGCACACATCTAAGATAAAAGTAGAGTAGAATATGGGTTTGATTAAAGATGACATGGCCAGTTTCTTTCTGTTTTTTTAATTTCTTCTCCTTTTTTTTGGAATCAAAAGAGAAGATATGAAAATCTACATATGTGCTCAAGGGATCTTATTCCATTTCTTATTTAAATTTACAGGAAATAGAAGATTGTGCAAAGACAGAGCTTCTCTAAGTAAATGTACACTCTCAAAGCAGCCAAACCTGAACCTGTCATCTGTTTTAAATAAAGCTGTGCAAACCTTGTGGAGGCGCAGTAGTGTGACTATATTAAAGATAAACATCTGGGTATATATGTTGGGGTTCCCAGAAGCTACAAATACACTTTGCAGTGACCTAATATTTCATCTCAAAATATGCAATGTTGTTTTTTCAGTATGATCAAAGAAATGAACTGGATAATCACTTCCCTCGTACTGTATATTTTCAATCACCAACATTTTCATTCAATGTAAGGCACAAAGATTTCATCAATTTTGAAATTCTGAAACAAGCAGCTGTTCAGCTTCTTTCTTGTGTGAAAAGGACTGGGACATCTGCCCACAACAGGATTTCTACACATCAAAGTGATGTATAAACTCAAAGGACTGCCACACAGTTGCCAAACCCAATCTGTTGTAATATCATTGTGACGTGTATTTCTCTGATTTTTCTGTTTTATGTCACTTTAAAAATGACTTTTTAATTGTTACAAAAAAAACCCTAAAAGATCTAAAATGTAAGATTTTTTTGTCTTCACATTTCTTATAAACCTGAATATTTTTGACAGCATCATAGCAAATACATTGTGAATTAAAGTAATGCTTTATTGATCAGATAGCGCTAATTTCTCCATTTGTAAGGTTGGTGATCATGTTTGTGCTTTCCTTTTGACCCTTACAATGCCAGATACTCACAGTTTTGACTTCCTGCAGCAGAAGGACAGCGTGGCTGTAGTTTGGAGGATCGCTGTTCAGCTGCTCCTGAAGACTGTCCCAAAAGGCCCGGTGAACGATTTCTGTCACTCTACCCTCCAGGCTGCAGACAAGCAGATTAAAAGAACAGCTCAAGGGTAAAAACACTCATTAATATAGGAACTAAGAATAACCAAGGTCACTGTAGATGTGGTTAAGTGTTTTCTTGCCTGTCTGTAGAAGGATTTCGGGGTTTGAAGCAGAAGTCTCTGTTCACCACTATCTCATGTGCAAGACTCATGTTGGAAACACAATTTTCCAGCTCCATTAGACTGGATAATGAGGCAGTGGGTGGGCTCCCTGACACCACAGACAGGACACACACACCCACAGATAATTAAAACTGCCACAGTGGTAATATTTCAATTACTAATGGCCCCTGAATGTGCCTGAAAACAATAACTGCTGTAATAACTGCCACGTACCTGTTGGAGAGTCAAGTTTTTCCAGACAGGGAAGGTCAGCAGGGGAATCATCAGTGGCTCCCTCTCTCTGATTTGGCATTTCAGAAGAAGTCTAGACATTTAAATCACTCGTTAACGTGGTACAAATAGTCACTTTTGTCAGGTTTTAACTACGCCTCCACTCAAAATGGTCATGGTTGAGACTGTTCGTCAATTGATTAACAATCAAGCAACAGTTTTAGTCATATTTTAATGAGAAACAGCACAGCTACAGTTTCAAACATTTGCCCCCTGGTTTGGGGACTAGTGATCAAAAAGAACATAAAGTGTGACTACTTCTCGGAAATTATAAGGGGTTTTCATCTTTTTCTATAAATGTACAATAGTCCTGTATCTATATTCAACTCTATCTATATAAACACACATTTTTCTATATTTATATACACACACACACACACACACACACACACACACACACACACACACTATAGCAACTATTGATATAAATATGTTTATTGATATAAACATAAATATTTAGGTTAAACATTATTTATTAGGAAAAAAAAGAAAACTAATGAAGTTGGGTACAAGGGTAAAATTGGGTACACCTACACTCCACACACAGAAAATGTACTATTACATGTGTACATTAAAGTATTAACAAAAAATTACATAAAATAAAATGAGTAAAAATGTATTTATTAAAGTCAAAAATAAGACTACACAGAAATGAAAATATGACACCTTTCTAAAGGCGAACTTACCTGTTGCTGTTATTTAAAGAATATAGTATAGGTTTTAGAGGTGAGTAGTATGTTAGAAACGTTACAGTGTTTCTTTCCGCAGTTTAAAAACCTCCAGTTCAAAACGTCGTTTCAAACTTGGACTAAACCATTTTCACCAATAAGGGGGGGATGGTTAAACAATGATAGACGCCCTTCCTGTTTCACAGCAACATCTATCCTGTATGCGTGGCTGTGTTCACATAGAAAAATGCAGCTATAAACATAATAAACCATTGAACTAAATTATTTTCTACCTTGAAAAAGACAAGACATTAAAAATGCCGCTACTTCTTTTGGTTTCGTCCGTTCTCAAATCAAAACAGTGGGCGTGTCTATGCTGCAGTTTTCTGTACTGTACGCTGCTCGTCTCTGCGTCTGAAACAAAACTCGAGCTACCTGTTTCTTCATTATAGTTCGGTGGAAACAAAAAGGAAACCGCCCGTCAGCCATTGTACGAAACGTTATGAGAGCTCAACACCTGGAAATATCTTTGTTCCAATTTCGAGAAAGAGCAGGTACACAGCTTAGGAACGTGAACCGTCAACCAGTGCATTATACCGAACTACTCAAATGCTGCACCAGTACTTTTAAAAGGCCTGTTCTAGAATTACAAATTTTTTTGTGTATGTTCTGTTTACTTTATGCTTTATAAACCAGACGATCCATAATTTTTTTTAATATTGTGTGTGTGTTCAGGTTCCAGGTTTGTTACATACTGGATTTTATATTTATTTTATATGATATTCAATTTCCTCACCTCCCTCATCAAGTAGGCCTAATGGAATGGACACAAATGGAGCTAAAAAGCTAATTTGCTTTTGCGTGTCTTCTCAAGCTCATGTTTTCTATATCATATCCCAATAATAATAATAATACTAATGCCATCATTTCAGATGGTGTTCTGTTTGTTAATTGTTTTTGGATTTCATTTGTGATCAGTCTATAGATTAGCATATTTCTTTAAATACTTAATGTGACAGGGAGACTGAGCATGTATCAAAAGAAGAAATATGTGCCTTTAAAAAAAATGCTTTGGTGCCCGGTTATATTTAGATCTTTGGTGCTTAATTGAAGAAATCTCTAAATATATTGCCAAATCTGCCCAGTTTCAAAACCATTTTCCATCTTTAATTAAATAAAACTGATGATATTTCAGCATTTTAAGTTTTGGTCCTCATGAGTCTGGAACTTCAAGAGAAAGAAACAGTGGTCATAAAATTCTGATAACATGCTCCAAAAAACACAAGCACATTCAAATGGAATTTGTGAAATTAAATGCTTTGTATATAAATTAACAACTAGAGGTGTCCCATTAATAAAATAAATAAATAAATAAATAATAAAATCCACAGACACACACAAATGTCCCGACACAGAATTGTATAGCAAATTATTTATGACTGCAAAATGTGTAACAAACAGTTTTGATAAATACAAGCATTTAAACAAAGCAGTATCAAAAAAAAAGGTCAACTTTCCAAACTCGCCCACAAAACAAGTAAATATGAACGTTTTTTCCCCCATAGAAAACAAACAAACAAACCCAAAATTCCCAAGCCAATGGTACTTTATACATTTGCATATTTCAAAATATCAAACACCTTTTATACTTTTGTTAAAAAAGCAAAATGATAACTTAACAGATTCACACTCTTCTTCCTCACTTGAGCTTTGATGCACATATAAACTTTTTTTTTGGCACCGCTTCACAAATGCCACTCCAGATTTCTCACTTTTAGGTGAAGCGTTTCCCCAACATTAAAGCAAAAGAGAGAATAAGTGCCAAAAACAGAGCTGCTACAAAAAGAGAGCAGCGTACCCACATTTTTTCTTTGATAATTTAGTGTACTTTTACAAATCTCATACAAGAAATCAATATCATATTTTAGTAAATCTTTAACAACAACAAAAAAAAAGAGCAGCTGAAAAAAAATCATTTGTAAGCAGTGTAAGTTCAGAGGAGAAAACTGGCAGATGGAAGGGAAAAATCGATGTCACAAAAGAGGCTGCTTAAATGGTTTCTTCGCATTCAAGCTTTGTATTCGAGAGCTGTGAGAGTCCATTGTGAGAAAAGGCAAAGGAGCATCAAGTGAATAAAAATGGGCAAATTAATGAATGCAATCTTCTGTTCCCAGCCGCACGTACAGCCACCTCGCTCTCATTCACACGCTAACCAAACTGTACAAAAACTTGTCTAATAATATAATAAATCGAGACTTCTCTCATGTTTTGTCCCAATGCCTCCATTCAGCACTGACTGTGCTGCAGTGTGACCTGGCCCAATCATAACTGAACAGGTAATGCACCTTGGCACTGTCTCTTCTCGTAGCCACATTTTCCCTCAGTTAAGCTTTTAGAGACTTTAAAAAACAAACAAAACAAAAAAAACCCTCTCCAGGGAAAACATAACACTTCATTTTTCTGCAATTATCACAGGATCAGTATCTTCATCTGGAATCTGCTTAATGACATTTGATAATTGCTGTTACATCTGGTACTAAAAGGACACTCTTGTTATCTTAATTCTCCTGCACTGTGATCACAGCTTAACAGATTACACATGTAATAGAAGATTATCATTCCCCAGCTTGAAAAGCTGACATTATAGAGGTGTTTTCCCCCATCGTCTGTTAAAGCAGATTATGTAATTGATGGATGTAGTGCAACATCACTTATCAACTTATGGACTGGCACTTTAAACTTTGAGCTATATGTCCATGTTGTGTTGGAGCTGTGGTGAATCTATTTGTTCAATAGCAAAGAGTGCTATCAGTTAATGCTGGCAAGCTTGGTTTGTAAGCTGCATCTATAGTACAGATACCTGCACAGATAATAAGTTCAGCAGTGCTTTAATACCATATAAAATGTCAGATAACGGCATTAAAAAAAGCTCCCAAAGGCACCAAACACAGTTGAGAAGTTAAATATAGCGACTCTATTTAGCTGAATGGAGGCTTCGCCAAGAGCTATCAGATACAATTAGGCTGTTTGAAGGTGTAATCTATCCAGAAAGACCAAACCATTTTTTGTACAGGGCTGCAGACATGTTTATTGATACAGTAAAGTTAAGACCCCAATGTTAAAATGCTCAAGTCTAGCTTATGTTACTCAAATTGCTTGTTACACCAACCGTGACGTCATTACAGCCCTGTACCCATTTATACTGGTGCTTGACGCACATCAGATTCATCTCCTATTAAGAAGAATCCTTCACAGGAGCATTGGTATAGGAGAAGAAGAAAAAGGATGCAAAGCTACAGCAAAGTCATGTTTTTAAGCTGTTGCTGCATCTGCCTTGCTTTAAAAATCCCTCTAGAATCTCCGAGCTTCTGTACGACTGTGTCACTGAAATGGTGGCATGATAGTACACACCAGCCTACATGACACTGATGTGTCGTGCTTGCCAGCAATTGTGATGTCACTGTTGGCCAGCACCACTGTTAACGAGGGCAACAACGGGAAGCATAAACTGGGTAAGGGGGATTAATGGCTTTTAGAGCCAGCGACTGTAGAAAAACTGCAGTTTTTGGCACTTGTGCGTTGGCTTTTTCAGCCCCAGAGGCTGCTGCTTGCTATTAACTTGTCTCCAGTTTTGACATCTGGTGTCTTTTCTACTAACAGTTATACTCACATCAACTCATTTAGTTTTTTTGTTTTTAACCCAGAAAGAACTCACCAGGTGCACTGCCAGGTGGAAACTTATGCGTCTGCTGTTTCAACCATGTATACTTTTAAAGTATAATTTCTTTTCATCTGGAAAAATAAACGATTTTGGCACAGCTTTTGTACAGGCTCCTTTAAGGTTTAGCAACTGAAAAGCTTCTCCTGTGACTGCATGTAAACACAGACTGAAGTGTCTGACACGTCACTCTAACGTTACCAAGCAGAAGCATAAATGGTCACAAGGCGACTGAGCTGATGCCGGTGAGTATGATCTGGTTTGGGAGGTCGAGTCAAGCTTGAGTGAGATTCTGGATGACAGGAACCAGTCCAGTAATGGAGCAGGCCTGCTCACAGTGCAGTCAGTACTCTGTGCCATCAGTGCTATAATATACAAATACACACAAACAGACACACCCATACACACACACGGTTTCCTGCTAAGAGTCTTTGAGCATGTTGATGCGTGCAAAGATCTTGAGTGCAGGTCCCAGCTTAATGTTCATAGTGCTCATCAGGTGGTCCTCCTTTAACAGGAGCAAGGCCTGTCCATCGATTTCCTGAGAGCGAAACTCGTCTGCTATCTCCTGGCAACCTGTGAAAACAGCAGAGGCACGAGCTACAGTTAATAACAGGTAAACAGGTTTCATACACGGAACACATCGGAGTATAAAGCATTATGATTGTGCCTTCTTAGCAAAGCCTACTCACCTGGTAGTGAACGAATGAACTCATAAACCTCCTCCACATTCCATTTGGTGGGGTCGTTGGGTACGAAGCGCTGACAGAGCGGTGCTCCATCTCTCCCAACGCAGGCCTCCTGGTCCGAGGCCCTGCTCGGCTGACGGCGGACAGGGACCTGGGCTGGAGCCGGGGCAGGAGCCAAAGGTCCAGAGCTGGCTGCTGACATGGGAGACGGTGGCTCCTCGTAGCTTGACATGTCTGAACATGGGCTGGATTCCTCCTGACTGGGCTGGGAGGGATGTGGTGAGGATACAGAACCGCCCTGAGTTTGCTGTGGTGACAAGGCCAGCTTCTGCCAAGCAATACAAACAGGAGTGACATCAATTGTTACATTTAAGAAAGGATAGCGCATAAGTAAAACACTCCCAGGTCAATATAAAAGTCAACGCAAAGATTAAAGGGGGTAATAAGTAAGATTTGTAGGGTACAATAGGTTTAAATGCCGATAATACACCTGCAGGGATATGATGGGGATTAATGGATCAATACCATTGCCTCAAAGATCACTTTGTCTTTGAATTGCAAAGCCCTAAGCATATTGGTGTATACATGACACAAAAGCACCCCCCACTGGAGGTTTAAAGCTGAATCCTTATAACATTACATAAGCTGTCCATAAAATACTAAAAAGCTCTTGATTCAAAAAGAAAATTTTACACCACATTTTACTATTGTGGTGTAAAATGCTTGCTTTATATTTCCCACTGAATTTCTGCTGTAATTACCTAAACTGCTTCTCTTTAAGATCAGTTAAAGGATAATGTGTTACGTCCCAAAAGAAGGCTTTGACGTGTGGGGAGAAAACTGTGAATCCAGTTGTTATCTACATCTATATAACTTGTGCAAAAGGCAGAAAATCTCTACTAATGCTCTCCCATTTCTGCCGGTCACCAATAAAGGCTGATGAAGATCATCGAGTACTTAATGACCCTTTAAAGACAGAGGGAGATAATCGGGCTCACACAAATTATGTTCAACTTCATTAAAAAGCAAGAGGCATGAAAAGTGCAGGGTTTAAAATGTGCAGCAGAAGCAGTATCTGATGAGAGGTAAAGTGTTGATGAGGAAGTTTTATGACAGTTAAGAAGCATGTTTTTACCTGCTTTTTTGCCTCAATACTGGGGCGGCCCTGAGACCGTCGACGCCAGCGATTTGCTGGTTTGTTCCTCTCTGGACGGAAAAGTCCAATTCGCTTCGTACAGCCTACGTTGTATCTGTTCATACAAATAAATATATATACATGTATATTTTTAAATTCCTTTTTTGTGAACATAATGGGAAAATTGCTATTTTCTCACATGAAAGAAAAAGAAGCCAAGGTTACTTACCTCTTTGCACAAACCACCGAGCAGAACCTTTTAGAGCCTTTGAATGTGTAAGCAAAATCAACCCAGCCACAGTATTCACACGTCAGCTTGGGCTCATCTTTTTCTGGGGGAGAGGAAGCAGCATAAACACAACACACATGTCAAGTATTAGACTTTCTTCTGAACAAAAAAAAAAAAAAGAGAGACATAATACTAGGCGTGCAGAAAATTAAAACTGTAGGTAGCTCATCTAAACCAGTGGTCCCCAACCCCCGGGCCTCGGACCGGTACCGGTCCGTGAGTCGTTTGGTACCGGGCCGCGAGAGTTGAGGCTCAGGTGTGAAATGTATAATTTTCAGGGTTTTATCGGTTTTCAGCGTTATTTTGTTATCGTTTTTATCTTTAACTCGGTCTTCCTGGGTCTTTTCACGTGTGTTATGAATAAATCTTCTTTTTTTCGGTACCGGTACTAGTTTTATTTTGTTGTATTTTTCCGCGACACCTTAAAGGCCGGTCCGTGAAAATATTGTCAGGCATAAACCGGTCCGTGGCGCAAAAAAGATTGGGGACTGCTGATCTAAACTATTCGGGGCCCAATGTTAAAGCATTATTTCTACTTCTGATGGAGAGTCATGGGATGGTTAAGGCTCAGGGTGCAGAAGTCAAATACATACAAACCTACATTGTTTTGAACCTCTTTCAAGAGATTTCTCTGCGAGTGCAGTGAGTCTGGTCTGCTTTGTTTACATCAGTTGATCAACCCTTGTAAAGCTACTGATGGCACTTCCTCCCCACATTAAAGTGAAGGCAAAAAAAAACCAGGCATTTGCAGCAAAACCACAAATGTCAACATTAGCTAGTGTTGCCAAATATCTACTCCACACCGTTTCCGATATTTTCAACACTTTTCTACATAGGTCTTTTTCTAACTTATAAATGGACAACTTGTTACAACATGTTAGACAAAGGTAAAAAAGAAGCATGTATCAGGAAACAGGAACTGACAGAACATCTAATTAATAATGAACTTCCAGCAACTGAGTTAAAAACACTTCCAGAGGGTCTACATTATTTAGAAGTGTGGGGTTTGACTGTTGGGGAAGAGGAGCAAAATGCAGTTTACATGGTTAAATAAACTCTACGGACACACCAGGGTCAGAGTTTCTGTCTGTTGGGTCGGTGTCTGCTCGTAACACCTTCCAATACTATGAGAGGATGATCATTGTAAAGTGAATTCCTTTAACCTTATGTGAAACCCTGGCAGGAAAAATCTGGAGCGACAGACTAACACCTCCAAAACCTGGTGAAGCTACACAAAGAAATATACACAATCTACACTGTAATGTGTTTGGTCTCACCTGGTTGGCTCATGTCCTCGGGCTCGGAGTCTGTGTTGGCTGCGTTGCTGACCGGAGTTTTGTCCGGGTCAGATGAGAGCTGATGGTCCAGCTTCTTTGGACTATCGATGAGAATGGGCAGACGCTCCACCTGGTGTGGGGCATAAAATATTTATAAATGGACTAAAAATGAAATGCTGCACACAACAGTAACAAGAAACAATGGGTGTGGTTTAAGGGTTTACATCTGGACTGCTTTATCACAACAGCTGCATTCTGTCACCGCAGCAACATTAACGCAAAGACTGCTGCTACTCCAAATAATAACCTGGAAATCAGGGCAGCTGTTTCACTGCACAGCCCCACTGCGCCTCATTACTGTAGTATTAATGAGATGACTTTTTTTTTTTTTTAAAGTCAGCTGACTGCTGGCCATTACAAGTTAAACCTTTTAGACTTAAAAGGAAACAGTGGTCACCAACTGAATGTTTTCGTCTTCCGGATGTTAATGTTTGAATATATAGCGATCACAAAAATAACAGATAAACACCATCATTGTTAAACCACCACACACAGTGACCATTTAAACTGATAATGTAGACTTGACATGTTCACGTCAATGTAGTCTGATTTTCAAGCATTGCATGTCGCACACATGAAGCTTGCATACAGTTAATTCTCCTGTCCATACGGCACATAAAGCAACTTGAATACCAGCGTATATAAAGTAACAGTTAACTGTTAACAATCAAGTTCTTTTACAGGACAGTGTTGGCATCATAAGAAATATATACTCAGTGTTTAATTTATTCTTCTTCTTTTTTTCCCCCCCTTTCTTTTTCTTTTTTTTAAATTGACAGAACACTGAGGTGGAAAATGTAATCAGATTCATTTGAGTCATAAAATGAATAAAAAATGTATTACTATAAAAGGAAAAATAATCCTCAGCTCTGTGTGTCATCACGTGTGTACGCATCTTCATAAATACTGCATTTTATTTATTTTCATGTGTGTTGATTAAAAATTGGAAATGTAATCTGCTTGTTTAGCCATGTGTGCATGTATATAGAGCATTTTCACAAAATGTCCAGTAGGAGGCAGAGAGGCCAAAGCCTAGAAATTAAAACTACACTTTTTTCCCCCCTAATGACTAATACAATTGAGAAGATACAAACATTAATATATAAGCACATGTTAAACTGTACAAACAATATGAGATAATAATGAACCAATTTCAAGGGAGATGACTACACAGATTAAGGAAGGATTTTAATGCCCTTGATTAAATGAACTGACTACAGAGCGCTGCTCATTACCTTCTTCCATCTGTATTCTTTCCCATTCACAGGGTCTCATCTCCCTGTAATTAACGAGTGAATCAAACAGAAGCTGTACGATGTCACTGCTAGCAGTAACAGAGGGTATGTGTTTGCCTGCTGACAGTTCCCTGCAGGCGTGTACACTGGAGACGGTGCTGGCTTTGGGTTGTTTATCATGTTTGTCTGCCAGTATTGCCGAGATTGAGCACTTACACACACGGGAAACGGCTCAGCTCCTTCCTGGATGACAAAGCCTTCGATGACATGTGTGAGGACCTGGGGCTTGACGATGGCCTGAGGTGGTTTGTTCTCTCCGTTTTGTGGCGTGCTGCCCGTCACGGTGGGCGCCTCGCTCTCATTTCCTGAGGTCATGGCTGGAGGTGGGGTCCCCACTGCTGCACTCGGCCTCTTCGCTGTACCCCCACCTGATGGAGAGAAAAAACAAAAACAAAATGGGTCTATTTAATACAAAGGAGCACGTATCCATTGAGAAATGTTTCAGTTTGAATGAAATTAAAGCTTAAAAAGAAGTAGCTGATGATCGTTTCAGTCATTTAGAAAAGCAGAAAAGACAGATTACATTTTCAGATTTGAATGGTTAATGCTTCTACGATAAGCTGAATATTTTTTGGTTGTACATTGTTGGTTAAGCAAGACAAGTAGAGCTGGAGTCCTTTTCCTTTTGTTTGTTTTTCAATAGAAATGTCAGATTTTCATATAATCATAATTATATAAAATTTTATGTAATTATCCAATATACTACATTGGAAATATAAATATATTGGGTTGTATGCATATTTATGCACATAAATATAAATACAGTGTGTTAGAGTAATATTGAAAAGGAAACCATAGAGTATTTGTTTAATAATTTTCTTAACAATGTACTTAAAATGAATCATTTTATTGTGATGCTACGTGTGCATGTGCTGCAGACAATGCTGAGATCATTACAAACAACACATTTGCAGACACTATGCTGGACATATTATGGCATTTGCTATAATTTCATGTTTAAAAACACATGAAACAAACAAAACTTCAGCTGTAAAACCAAGCATTTCATTCCCATTTTAATTTTGGGGAAATTTTATCAAGCATATTTAATAAAAGTAATCATGTCATCAAATCTGCATCACATTTAAGTGAAAATGTTCAACAGTAACCCATCTCAGTTTCTTAAATTATAATAATTACAATTTATTACACTTGCCATCCACTTTGGCGAATTCCATTAATGAACAGCAATTTAACTGTTTAATGCAATCTTCCAATAACATTGATGCATCAGAATGGAGAATGAAGGTAATTAAAGTGACTTTAAACATGTCTGATCTACTGGATTTTCCCACACGACCAGCTTTAGGCTATACGAAGGGTCTCCAAAAAGGAGAACGCATCGCGTGAGCAGCAGTTCTCTGGGCAGAAATCCCTTGTCAGCGGTCAGAGAAGATTTACCAAAATAACCAGTCATTACAAACAAAGTATGCCTTGAAGCAGATGAGTGACAGCAGCAGAAGACCCTGCCAAGTGCCACTCTTATCAGTTAAGAACTCAAGCCTGACCGATTTTGTTGGAATATCAGCCGCCGTAAGCCTTTTGTTACCACTATTGGCGTTTATAACAGCCAATAAATGAAAAGTAAATAAGACACAGGAGAAGAGCCCCAACCATGTTAACCACCAGAGGGCACTCTGCAACCTCCCCTGTTGGCAACAAGTTCAAAACATTACAAACAATCAGCTGATCAAAGCAGGGCATGAATGAAAAAAGAAATAACTATAAATAATAAATGTTAGGAAAAGCTGTCTGTGTGTCTGAAAGATAGAAAATAAAAAAACATATTGGAATATGGGATTTTTAAATCATCAAACATAGGCATCGGTATCCAAAGTCCAACAGTGGTTAAGCTCTACTTGAAACAGATGGACTACAGCAGCAAAAGACTACACCAGGTGCCACTTCTGTCAACTAGGAACAGGAAACTGAAGCAACACACTTAATGTGTTTACCAAAACTGGACAACAGAAGAGTGGAAAAAGGTTTCCTGGTCTGAGGAGTCTGGATTTCTGCTGTAACATTCAAATAGTAGAGCCAGAATTTTGCAAAAACAACATGAAAGCATCCTGGCTTGTTCAGCCTCCCCACTGCCAGGGACCATTCTTGTGATTTGGTGCTATATAAATGAATTGAAATTAATATTTCAGCCCCTTAGTACCAACTGAGCATCCTTTAATAATCACAGCCTACCAAAGTATTGCTGCTGACTAAATCCAAATCCCTTTATTACAACAGCATACGCATCTTCTGGGGGTCGTTTCCAGCAGGATAACACAAAGCTCCAATCAAGTCAAACTGGTTTCTTAAACGTGACAATGAGTTCAGTGTACTCTTATAGCTTCCGCAGTCACCAGATCTCAGTCCAACAGAGCACCTTTTGGATGTGTTTAAATGGAAGATTCATCTGATTGAGGTGCAGCTGATAAATCTGCAAAACCTGTGATGCTGACATCGTTAACTGATCAAACTCTAAGGAATGTGTCAAGAATTATGTTGAATCTATGGCACAAAGAATTAGAGCAGCTGTAAAGACAAAAAGGTAGCAAAGCTGTACCTAATAAAGTGGCCACTGAGTGTGTGATAACAATGGAATTGACACCTCCGCGGTTTGCAGCAAGCAAACATAAACTTTGTTTTGTTTGTTATGTTTTATAGATAAATAAATTTATGAATAACGTAATTAGTTGCAGCCATAAATTTAAAGGCTAAACTTTTGAGAACACGAAGCCTATTATTATTATTATTATTATTATTATTATTATTATCATCATCATTAGTATTAGTAAGTAGTAGTAGTTGTTAGTAGTATTATTTGCAACATCGTAAATGTCTGTCTTCATATAACAGCACCGAGGACTAATGCGATTACATTTCGCAATCTCAAATGTCAAATTACGGTCACTTTCAGGCAAATTAGCGCAGTCATATCCACCTGCTCTGCCGGCAGACCTAAACGATCCCGCACAGACCTCCTGTAACAGTGCACCAGTCAACATCAACGCAACCACCCCACATCTGTCGCTTGCACCGCCACAAAGACGCTTCGGCTTTTTGTGAAAACCCCCTCCAAAGCGAAAGTAAACACCGCTCCTCTGCGCTTTGTCACCCTAAAATCCGGCTGGATTGAATGAGAAAGCGTTTTCTTACCGCGCAACTTCCGCTCTGCTCAGTCAGAAAGCACGTGCGGTTTGCTGTTTGTTTTTGCTCCGACACGCCAGCCTGCCGCTGTTGTGCGCGACTTTAAGCTGCAGCGCCGCTTCAAGTAAATATCTCCCCGCCTCCCCGTTTCCTCCCACGTTTCCTCCCACGTTAGTAGCTCTGATCCTCCTCACTCCGCCTGCTGCTGCTGCACAACAACACAAACCAGCACAGAGCCTCCAGCTTCAACCTACTACAGGAAATATCTTCTTTTTGGCACAGACTTCAACCAGTCTCTCACTGAAAATGCAAGCAATCCTCAAATAACCCTGCCACAAAAGGCATGCTTTTCAGCAGGGCCGCAAAGAGGATTTTAGAGTTACACGGGCCATCCAAGTCCCCCAATATACACTCTATCCCCACACACAAAGAAATTCCCCAGAACACATATTGGAATCATCTCCACACTATTTAGACAGTTTGGTCTGCGCTTAATTTAATGAATTACTTCATAGAAGCAAAACATGGTCTCAAAGCATTCCCCAAATGGGTGTCTAAATATCCTTTATCGCCCCTTTTCGATTAGTACCTACTCAGATCAGCTCGATGCGGGGTACAACTCAACTCATTTTCTATTACAATCGAGTACCACCTAATGTGCTTGGGGTTATTATAGCAACGCAGCCAAGCGTCCTGTGACTTAATTAGTATGTGACACGAACGCCACAACAAAGTGGTGGTTTTGATTTTCGTGAAGGAGACGCCCTCATAACTGATTGTGTGACGCCACTGACAAACCAATAGGTTGCGTGCAGTGTGCTGACATCCCCTCGAATCGTTTGGAACCCCAGCAGAGTAAGTACAAAAACAGTACCTGGTATTATCACCTGAGGTTGGTACTAATGGACAAGGAGCTTATGTGGAACTGTGCATCTCCACCCCACACATTCTAGGGCAATACTTCAGTCTCCTTTGTCAGAGACATACACTTTTTGAAAGTATGTGTTTTACTAAATGACTATGAACGAGACAATAAAGATTAGTGTGTAGGAAACGCATGACGATAGTGTCAAATTGCCCGTCATCAAAGAGAAGGTGCAAGACTTGAAAACTACCACAAAGAAAAAGACAGGTAGAAAAAAGGACCGGTAAACTTCCCATAACTGAAAGAAACTAAATGAGATGTAAATCCCAGAGTTCCTGCCCAAAGTGAAAAGTGCCAGTGTACCAGTGAATGGATGCAACCCCAATAAAATCAAAATGATAACTAGAAAAACATTCAATTAAAATAACAGTTTTAAAAGGTTAAGACTAAAGCAAACCCCAAGTGTCAGGGAAACATTTTAACCATTTATCAACTCAGGGTCATGGTGGGGCTGGAGTCCATTTTAGCAGTCATATGGCAAAAGTTGGTAGGCTACTATGAGGTTAACACAGAGACAGAAAGCCAGCTTGTATTTGTCATTTTGTTAAACTGCTATACTTCAGGTTAGCTGATACTTTAGGACTAAGGCCATAGTTAGTGGGATCTGGTATATTTGTGGTTAGGGATGGGTACCGGTGT